CAATCTATTTATCTATCCATCAGTAATGTTTGTCTGATTCAATAAAAGCCTATTTTCTTATTTTAACTGAGTACATTATCGTTATGTTCACATTTCAATGATAAGTTAAACTGAAGTCAAAACAATTGGTTTAAAATAACTCTGCATTGGTCAATCTGTACTGTTAATATATGGTAGGATAATTGGGGAAAAGAAAAGCCGAAGCTGTGATCGGAGGAAGGTGAGGAAGAGGTATGAGGCAGTGGGAGTCTACCTGAGGCAATAGGGGTGCAGTACTTGTCCGAGTTGCGCCGACGTATGGGGCCGACCGGGTGTGTGTGGGAGTGGGAGTGTGTGTGCAGGCTGGAAGAGCTGATGACGGAGGGTCCCTGGCGCAGCGGCGTGATGGGGGTGGCGGCTGAGGTGGGAGGGTGGGGGAGACCCTCTGGGTAGGCCTCGCTGTCTCTCTTTAACAGGGAGCCGCTGGAAGCCAGGTTCAGCTAGAAGGAGAAGAGGGAATATGTTAGTTTTTATATTCAGAGGTTAAAGGTAAGACTCAGAAAATGATACATCACAAACTCTCGCTAAACTATTCTTGCATCTCGAACCCTTTTTTAAATATTACATTACAACCACAAACTTTTATATGAGACTGACTTAATAGAGTATCATATGATTGTAAAATGAAAAAAAAAAAATATAGGCAGCTTAAAAATACAAATCTGGGGTTTATGGGGGAGTGGTAGGACGAAAAGGCCTTGTTAAAGGAAAGCCAAAGGTCCCATTTAAAACTTGCTATATGCCATGCAGAGAATACAGAAAACATGTGGAACAAAAGGTCCAGAGTGAACCATCAGCCCAAGGTGTAAGCCTGGAGGGAGAACTGATACAGCAGAGCACGGTGCGGTGTGAAACCTGAAAATCCTGCTACCATTAAACACACAGATGGCAGTATCATAGTATGGGACGGGTATGCTTTCAGCAGGGACAGCAAGATAAGATCTGTAATTTTTCCACTATCAGACTCATCACGGTAAGTGAAAATGGGGACGAGCACGTACTGTAGGATGGCCTTATGTAAACCTATCACCAAAATAACTGACAATTAGGAAGAGACACATATTTTGATGATCCACCAGGAAAAAGAACATCCTACACTATAGCTTTAAAGGAATAGTACACCCAAAACATGATTAGCCTTCATTTTCTACTCACCCCCATGCTGAACAACACTCTGGAGTACTTTTTTGATATCTCAAATGCATCTGGAGATCTGGGAGGCTTCTTGCTGTCTGCTGACATTCAAATAATGGAGGTCTATGGTGCCCGAGACAGAAAGGTCCATAAAAGTCCACAAAAACGTGTCAATATTCCTCCATACTGCTCGTCCAATGTATTCCAAGTGTCCTGAGTGGGTAGCATCCAGAATTTACTCGAAACGAAGTCATTTAGAATGTTTTTAGAGCATAAACAGTAGTGTATAGGATTTCCTGAAAGCGCGCGCCGGCGCGTTCATGACGCTACGGAAGCCGGCAGACCAAACCAGATGAAAGTGCGCATTCAGCACGGCAAAGAACTCATGCTCTTCCTCAACACTGAAGTCCTCAGACATTTTTCTTTCGTTGTTTCTTTTTTTGCACAGGTAAACAGCACATTTCTTCTTCTACACTTGCATTATCGGCAGAGCAGACGCTGAAAGCGCACTTTCATCTGGTTTGGTCTGCCAGCTTCCGTAGCGTAAGTAACGTGCAGGCGCGCGCTTTCAGGAAATCCTATACACTACTGTTTATGCTCTAAAAACATTCTAAATGACTTCGTTTCGAGTAAATTATGGATGCTACCCACTCAGGACACTTGGAATACATTGGACGAGCAGTATGGAGGAATATTGACACGTTTTTTGTGGACTTTTATGGACCTTTCTGTCTCGGGCACCGTAGACCTCCATTATTTGAATGTCAGCAGACAGCAAGAAGCCTCCCAGATCTCCAGATGCATTTGAGATATCAAATAAAGTACTCCAGAGTGTTGTTCAGCATGATGGTGAGTAGAAAATGAAGGCTAATCATGTTTTGGGTGTACTATTCCTTTAAAGTTACAAAAGTTTGTATAAGCACAAAGAAAGAGGTCAACACACGAGTAGGAGAGAATCTACAGGTTCATAAAAAGCAAGAAAACTCAGAGAAGGAGCATATACTGATGCAGCTGACATATTGGGGGGCAAAATACATATAAAGAGAAGTTTACATGTGTGTATGTTTTAGATAAAACGGCTTGTATGATTATTTCCTACATGTGTGAACTTTTGGACGAATTCTGACTTCATACTGGATGTAACAGCTGGGCGGATAGCATCTCAACATGTGTGAAATTAGAAGTATCACATAAAACTCCCTGGGTTTTGGTGCAAACCCGTAGAAATAATTTTCAGTGATCCATTTATTTTGCAGTCAGAAAAATAGTTGCCTTTGGCACTTCCTGGAAAAGTGGGTTCCTATCACCGGCAGCCGGTATGTGCACTCTCTGAACATGCACACGCATTCATACCAGTGTAATCACACACACAGAGAGCACAGGCTGCAATCAACCCTGAGCTTACAAAAACAAAAACCACACGACAGCATGTTTGTAGGAAGGGGGAACATACACATGCGCTTTGCGGTGGCGTAGCCTTCACGGCCCAATTCGGCCCAATTAGGCAGAGCCCGACACGCACACGCACCCCCTCACACAGAACAGGTACTCCCAGTCTCTCTGGGAGAGGAGATGCAGGGCTTCTAGTTTAGTACTAATTAAAACCACTGAGAGTGTGTGTGTTGTCTAGATTTATGTAAAATGTGTGAATCACCTCCTCTCTCCTCTGACCCTTCTCCGTACCATTTTAGCTGCCTTGGAGGGGAAGGAGGAGAGGGGCGGGTCTGCTTAACAGGTACTTCATTAAAGCTGCAACCCCGGCCCATCACCACAGCAACAGTCCAACACTGTTAATTGAGGCCAAGCTTTGTTTCCATTCCTGACGCTCCTCCTCTGCCCCTCCTCCTCCAATCCCTGACCCCGAGGCCCGTCTCCAGTGGTGACAGAACACACCTCCTTCCTGATTTCCCATTAGATGATAATGGCAGCTGATCCCCTTGTGATCAACACATCATCCAGTCACACGTGCGCACCCCCCCCGCCATCCCTCAGCCGCGCTCGTTTATATTCTCAAATTAAGACACTCTCGCTCTAATTGACAATTAATTTCAACATCTTCACATTTTAATAAGACTTCTCGTCAATTTTCATGATGAAATATTCATTAGATTCCCAAATAGCAGCTTCCCCCAAACCAACTGGATGCATTTTTACACCGGAAAGCGACGTAAAATTTGCGTCCTGTTTGCAAGCGTTCAGTTGAATCGCAGTGATGGGTGAGAAATCAAATTAAATTCAGCTTAAATGATAGAAAAGCTTAAATGTAAACCCCTTATCTTTGGATTTAGTGCCCTCTAAAAGCATAGTTTTTAAGGGAAGATACTTTTAGGCAAAAAAGAAAGTACATAAAAAGCAGATTGTTAGGCTGAAAAAATTATTTATGAATTAGAAACACCACATTAACCCTCAGTGAACAATAGGGGGCATAGCCACCCAGCGAGAGAGACAGAGCAATGATAATGTCCCATCCAGGGGAAAGCAGTGAGAGGTGCTGTAATCTGGACCTTGGGGTGGCTGTACTCACAGGTTGGTTGAAAGGTTTTGGCTCTGAGGGGCGCATGTGCAGGTGGGTCATCATGGCCTGAAGTCGCTCGCTCTCCTTTGCCAGCTGCAAAACCAAACAGATCGAACAAATACATGTCATCTCATTTCATTACCCTCGGATTGATTTAATGCGCTGTTGACACAGAATTACAAATACAATTACACCTCAGGCAAAGTGGCGAACATGAGAGCGAGGCGCCTCAGCACCCGCAGCTCTCTCTCAAACACTTCCTCTAGCCCTGAAGACACGCTCGCCCCCGTTTGACTTTGTTAACGGCTGTTTAATGGAGTAGCGCCGCTGCCTGTGGAGACGCTGAGGCCTTTTTCTACATTTTTTTTGTTTTATCTTTCTGTTAGCTCCCATGTTTAAAATAAAAAATACAAGACAGGGACTCCCAAGGTTCAGAGATGTGTGTCGCTGCAGGAATACTAGCGGCTCTAACACCACGCCTGACTGTACGCGGTGCGGTGTGGGAGAAACGGACGTCCTTTGGACGACGGAGGGATGAAGCGACATGTCAAGACGTGAGAGAGGGAGAGATGGCTGTCCTGATGTGATGTGACACCTGCTGCCTCTCTGTCACTTTGCGTTCCCTGGCTGTGGCTTCAGAGCCTCGGCTAAACGATGTTTACCACCGCTGCAAACACAAAAAGGTGACCACAACACTGGCCGCACTCAAAGCCGCCTCTTAAACGAGTCACTTCTGGGTCAGTTTGCAGGAGAAATGTGAGCAACTTTACAGTTTGTGTAAACAGAACAAGGACAAAACAAGCCACCATGATCAGTCCAGGGATTTCTGGGTTTTAGTAATACATTATTTTGCTTCTCTCTAACTATTTTAATCACTTATTTTCACCAGAGTTTCTCTTATATATTAAAAATATGCCCTGCTGCATATTTTTGTTAATCCCCCACCCACATATGGATTTGTTTAGTCTCACCTGTGCTTTGCACCATTACTCCTTCCTTATCTATGCATGCTCCCCACATATTCTAGTCACTGTCAGGTGGCTTTTATCCTGTCCTGCTGGTTATATTATGGGTTTTGTCCCCATGTATGTGATTTTATCAGTAGAAGACCCCAATCTTGTAATTTCTTTTCCTGCTGCCAGCATTGACTCATATTCCTCAGTAAAATATGACATAGGCTGACCCCAAAGACTGAAAGATGCTAAAATGGTGTTTGAAGTCCAAACCTACATTGTGTCATTTTATTATATAATAGAAAAAAAGGATTAATGCAAAGTTTTTACAA